CTTCTTGATCGGACCCTCATGACTCAGGACTGCGACCGCCATGAACGGTCTTCGTGATTATGTTCCTCCAGCTATTGTATTTTTTATTTTTTTTATTGCTTACATGGGTGGACGAGCTCACAACCCACCTGGTGTTTAGTAGTTACTGGAACCCATAGACATCTACGACGTAAATGCGCCACCCATCTTGAGATATAAGTTTTAAGGTCTCAAGTATAGTTACAACGGCTGCCCCACCCTTCAAACCGAAATGCATTACTGCTTCACGGCAGAAATAGGCGGGGTGGTGCTACCTACCCGCGCGGACTCGCAAGAGGTCCTACCACCAGTAGGGCCTTAAGTCTCATAACAGTTGATACACTGCCCTTATTTCAATATTTGTACAAAACATTATTAGCAACCACACTTTAGTAGAAATCTTTAATCTTTTTTATTACATCTCACTTTAATGTTCAAAAGGAATCGACAATATTAATTAATCTAATAATTTGCTTTGCTTACCCTCGAAGCAAACCCCCCAAGCAAACATTTCCATCGCTTTATGGGAGCACAGCCGTCGCTGCAAGCTCTATATTGTGTACACTAACTTTGTATTTCAATGGGGAAATTACGAAATAATTTTAATTAATTCTAAAACAATTAATTCACCTGACATTAGCAAACAGGAACGCGGCGTGGACGTAATCAGGCCGGGTCGGGGGGTCAAGTAAATATGGTGGGTATTTTTGTAATTTATGATACACGGTAAGTTGGTCCAGATGCCCGTGTCGTTTCCATGTTAACACGGCTTAACCGTCCAATGTAGTAGAATTTATTTCTAATAATGTCTAAAATTAACTACTATACCTAATAATAATAATGTCTTATATTACCAACATAATTTAAGCTAAATTACTAACAAAAGTCATATTTGCTGTTTAATGTAATATTATAATTCACCTAAGATTGGATAACCAGACATAAAAAGGCTTATTATTATATTATATTATTATAAATGTCTAAAGTTATTGCGTACCCAGAGATACTTAGAGAATCTGATCAAGCATGTCTCTTTTCGGACATAAATATCAACAACAAGTAGATAACAACTAGGAATTACTCCTGGTATTGCCTGAGAACCTGATTAACTGAGAGCAGTCCGTATTTCCAGGAGCAAGAGAGGGTACCACAATCCGGCCTGTTTCTACTGCTAATGATTCCACTCTACTATTGAAGAAACTAGTATATTTTATTGGAAGTGTTAATTTTTTTTTTCTTTTGCTTACATGGGTGGACGAGCTCACAGTCCACCTGGTGTTAAGTGGTTATTGGAGTCCATAGATATCTACGTCGTAAATGCGCCGCCCACCTTGAGATATAAGGTCTAAGGTCTCAAGTATAGTTACAACGGCTGCCCCATCCTTCAAACTGAAACGCATTACTGCTTCACGGCAAAAATAGGCAGGGTGATGGTACCTACCCGTGCGTACTCACAAGAGGTCCTACCACCAGTAATTACGCAAATTATAATTTTGCGGGTTTGCTTTTGATTATACGATGCTATCCCTTCACCGTGGAAGTCAATCGTGAACATATGTTGAGTACGTATTTCATTAGAAAAATTGGTACCCGCCAGGGATTCGAACAACGGTGCATCGCTCAGCACAAACGCACCGAACGCCTTACCCTTTAGACCACGACGACTTCGATTATTCAATTAATATTTATAATGAACTTATTTATCAAATTGCCCCCAATCAGTGAGCATCCGAGTACGGCCTCTGTAACAGGTGCCGCTGAAACACTCCGTTTATAACATACGATGTAATCGCCATGTTTAATATAAACATTTCTTTTGTGTTATAGCAAAATTATTGATATTATTCCCGTATTGATTTAGTAATGCAATTGTATTATTAAATGGCTTTAACAAAGTGTTTTGAACATTCGGAATAAACTTACATAGTTTATTTTTTCGTAATCGTATGCACGGGACGTGAACAAGTTACTTGATACATACTTATGACTCGATAGGAGCTTTAGCTACTTTAAGATTTAAAACGACAATCTAACTCATATTACCCAATGTCTGAATAGATGAGAATAATTGCATACACAGTGTAAATTCAATTAGAACTGTTTTTTTTTATTGCTTAGATGAGCGGACGAGGTCACGGCCCATCTGGTGTTAAGTGGTTACTGGAGACCATAGACATCTACGACGTAAATGCGCCACCCACCTTGAGATATAAGTTTTAAGGTCTCAAGCATATTTACAACGGCTGCCCCACCCTTCAAACAGAAACGCATTTCTGTTTCACGGCAGAAATAGGGTAGGGTGTTGGTACCTACCCGTGCAGCCTCACAAGAGGTCCTAACACTAGTAAATTACGTCAGTTACGTTATTTTTACTTCTTAAACTAAATTAGCTAAAGCACTCCCATACGCAACATGTTGTTATGTAATTAACTCAAATTAAGTACATTTCAAAACTAAAAACACGCTTAAATTGTAAACTGGACCAAAAAAACAAATTGTGTTGTAGACTATGTCATTTTAAAATATTGGCCGAAAGTAATAAAGTCACCATCTCATCTGCCTGTGTGATTAAGCATTCGTAGGAGTACGTTTTGGCTCTAAAGCTAGTGAAAGCCAGTTAATCAAATACAAATGAGGCTTTGGCCCCAAAATTTAAAGTATAAAATATAAGAGCGTCAAGAAAGACGAAATTCGAACAGACTCAACAGAAGTATTGATGATTTGATTTATAATTAGTATTTTCTTGCACAGCATAACATAAAAATTTGTGTTATTCCCAATACCCGATTTTATACCTTCGTTGTGAGGGTAATTTGAGAACAAACTTCAAGTACGTATGTAATGAATAAAATGAAGTACTCCAGAATTAATGAATACAATCTCTCTCTTCTTCGTCTCGACCTTATCCCACTAGGTGGGGTCGGCACTGGTCGAATGAATACAATGAAAGACTTAATTGCGTTTTCTATATCTATACTAATATTATAAATCTATACTTCTATACTAATATTATAAAGAGGAAAGATTTGTTTGTTTGTTTGTTTCGAATAGGCTCCGAAACTACTGGACCGATTTGAAAAATTCTTTTTCCATTAGAAGCCGACATTGTCCCTGATGGACATAGGCTACTTTTTTTAATTTTTTTTTAATTTTATTTTTTTGGTTTCATGTGTGTTTTAATGTTTCCGAAGCGAAGCGAGGGCGGGTCGCTAGTAATATTATAAAGAGGAAAGATTTGTTTGTTTGTTTCGAATAGGCTCCGAAACTACTGGACCGATTTGAAAAATTCTTTTTCCATTAGAAGCCGACATTGTCCCTGATGAACATAGGCTACTTTTTTTATTTTTATATTTTTTTTTTGTTTTGGTTTCATGTGTGTTTTAATGTTTCCGAAGCGAAGCGAGGGCGGGTCGCTATCTGTAATATAAATAAGAAAACATTTAAAGCCCCCAATCTCTAGTTAAATTAATATTAGCAGTATTATTATACTATGCAAGACTGAATCACTCTCTTCACTGAATGACAGGTCAGTGAACCCGTCCAAGAAAAATCTTTTTAAAGCTATAGAGGTTTTTCTTTACGTGTATTTAGAGAAATTTGTACTTTATCCGAATTTATCCCCCCCCGACATAGTCGTGTCACATATTTTTTACGTCATAGACTTTCATAGCCTACAATAATAAAATATGAACTAACCTCATTTTACGTATAAATGAGTATTACGTTTTTATGAGAGTTTTATCACCCCCTAACGTTCCAAGTACTCCGGCGAAGTGTCCCTCCGAGTCACTCAAGGAGTTATGAGCTACCTAAAACTAGTTTGTGACACAATCTTGGTTCTATTTTTAACAATATATAATTTGAGGCGCTTCGTTTAATTTACAGTTTTCGTTGACACCGACTGCTAACTACCGGTAATATTTTTTTTATTGCTTAGATGGGTTGACGAGCTCACATCCCACCTAGTGTTAAGTGGTTACTGGAGCCCATAGACATCTACAACGTAAATGCGCCACCCATCTTGAGATATAAGTTCTAAGGTCTCAGTATAGTTACAACGGCTGCCCCACCCTGCAAACCGAAACGCATTACTGTTTCACGGCAGAAATAGGCGAGGTGGTGGTACCTACCCGTGCGGACTCATAAAAGGTCCTACCACCAGTATTAAATAACAATACTTATATGTAACAATACTTAAATAAAACTTAGATTATTGAGACTATTACTTTTACGTAAAAAAATTTGCAACGTAATTTTAATTAATTTATTACAATATATTATATATAGTCATACGTGTTTATAACAATAAAGAAGGGCTGGTTAGCGCGTTGCTACTAGTTGATACCACTATCAAATTCTTCTCACAAAAAAAATGTCTTTGAAAAAACCACGCATAGCTTGAGGTTATTCTTTCTGGAAATCACGGAGCCTACAGTATTTTAACAAAGAAAGTTTTCCTTGATACGTAAATCCGTGGCATTTCAACTATTCTTCGTCTAGAATGCAGTTCGTAGTTCGTGTTATGATCGACTTCGCAAAGAGGTTAGATAAAAAGGTAATTTTATCTGTACCTTTACACCCTTCGATTTTTTGATACGACGCTGACGGAAGTCAACAATTGTTTTTTTCTGTTACCCGTCGCCTAACATCGGCGAATAGTAATTTATGTAATGATTAATCAATGACCGCCTCTTTGGTTGAGCAATTAGTTACCCTGATACCTCTAGAATTTAGTGTGTACGATTTTTCTGTCTAGCCCAAAATAATAGCTTAGTTAGTTGGCAATGCCGAAAGCTTATAAAAAAAATTACATCGTAACTTTACCACGTAAGCTTTCGAGTATACGAGAAATTATAAAACCTACGAGGTCATGAAATTTAAGCGTGAAATTAATAAATCAATAGACGCATGGCGATTGAAAAAATTATGAAATACGAATATGCTGCTAATTCAATGACAATGTTTTATGTAATCCTTAACAGTCACGTACGACCAAAATAGAAGTATTTGATGAAAATCAGAGTAAAGAAAATAAGGAAAAACGCTGTTCTGATTTATTGCTCGACGCGATGAACTGAAAGTACGCCCGTTTTGTGTTATCTTATTTATCTTATAACTATTATAATACTTTATTTTTGAAAAGAAGTCTTAAGAAGAAAAGAAGAAGAGTCTAAAGAATTAAAAAGTTGGGGAGTTGAAGTAGTAACCGTGGTTGGAATCAGCTAAGGATAGTATTAAAAAATCACGTGATGTTCATAATGAAACAAAGTAAATCGTTATACAAGAACACAATTTACATTCACAATAAACAACATCAAATATAATTAGTAAAATCGTACGTGTCACCATCGTGTGACTGCAAAATCGTACAGTATAAATGTCATTCGTTGATCCCATAAGATTCAATTTGCAAAACGGGATTTCGTACAGAATAAAAAATGATGTCCGGTAAGTCATTCGGGACACGCCTGTTTCCTTTTGATAAAGTTCTTAACATTTCTTTAGTGTACGGATATTTATTGAATAAAAATTGATTTATTATTATCACTAAGGGCAGCAAATCGGTTTGAAATACGTATTCGTTAGCTCTGATTTGACATTGTTTAATCAAGAGTACTTATTAAAAGTTTAAATTAATACATTTAGGTAAATTTAAAAAGAAAACAATTTTTTTTCTACATCAGACTATATTATCAAACTTTGCTTCTGCAAGACTCATTTTAGAACATCGTCTGCAAGTTTTTTATTTTATTGCACTTGTAGGTAGACGATCGTGTGGCACACCTGAAGGTAAGTGGTAACCGTCACCCATGGACATCAGCAACACCTGGTACCTGGTGGGAGAGCCAAGCCGCTGCCTATCCTTAAGTACTCTCCACAAGCCTCGTTTAAAGAAGGACATATTGTCATAGCGCTTGGGAAATACCATGCAAAGGCAAGGCAAGTAACATCGGCAAGTGCGAAACATGGCCCTGTTTGAATTCAATTTAAATACTGAATCCACTATGAATTACACGTGAGCGCAAAAGTAATAATTATAGTAATAAATTAGATCAGAACAACGCCATCTATCGACAGCTGTATGAGTTTAACGTAAATAATTAAAAAGCTTTTAGTTCGAATCTCATCAATAAAAGAATAGCAGAAGAGAAACATCGACCGCTAACGAGTGTCGGTGTTAACGCGTCATTACCGACCGCTTCGATTGGCTGCCGGCTCACTAAGCGATTGTCTTTTAAATAGGGTTGAACGTAAGACGATTAAAAAATTCAATTAATTTTCTTTACAGTCCGACGCGTTTGTATTATATTTATAAGAATTTACAGAATAGCCAAGGATCACAAGATTCACAAGATCTTCTACAGATTATTTGTACTTTGTATATTCAGGGATTTAACTTTTGTATCTATCTTTCATACAACCCTGCGGTCCAGTTTTAAAGCGGAATTTGACAGCAGCAAGTATTGCACACTCTACAGCTGAAGAGCAACATGAGAAAAAATGTCACCAGTAATTTCTCTTGTCTTTTACACACACACAGCTACACAACCACATGCTCATCCAAGCTGTTTGCTAGATAGATTTGTGAGACTTCTATCATTTTCACTAATTCTCTTTACGCCCGCAAATTTTTCAACCCGCCCGATGATAAACAATCACCGTATGTAGATGTAGAATTGGTAAGAACGGAACGTATGAAATTAGTGCGGAACGGAGTGTTAAGATGTGAGTGAGAGAAAACGGTAAGAAACGAAGAAGAGAATGACAGAGAAAAGGAAGACAATGAAATGAGCAAGGCGTAAAAAGGTGTCAATTAATTTTGAACGATTATAGGTACTGTAGAAGATTTAAAAAAAAAGAGTACCTAAAAGTGCCAGAGTGAAATAATTGAATTTTATGTGCCACGATCCCAATTCTACATAGATATCAGCTAAGTGATAACATGATGGCGCCTGTACATACTTTAAAATTTAAAAAATATTTCGATGACATTAAGACATCATCCTGGTGCTATGAGGTTACGTTGGGTATGTGGTTCATGGGCTTGGGAAGCATTTAGCATCGATTGGGCTGTGGGCTTTATTCTACACGATTAAGCCATGTTCTTTAAGTTACTTTAACAGTTACTTACATTCGACAGCCCTAAGCACCCGTGGGACATTATCGGCCGACTAATTCCGGTACTGATTTATATCTTCACGGCTCCGTGCGGAACCGAAACGGATTACCACCGCAGGGATTACAGGTTCGATGCCCGCCCGACGATCACGGCTTAAATTGGGAAAATACAAGGAAAATAGATTACCGCTTAGCACTGTTTGTTTTTATAGCTAAGAGGTTCGTTCGTTTGATTACGTCAATGGCTGTGTTTTACTGTTGTTTGAAAACTGTATGAATAATTGAATCGTTTGCATCGGGTCAGTGAACGAAGAGTCTCATATAGATTTTGCTATTTTTCATTTTATATTAATGCTACGTTTTAAATTTTCAAATAACTTTCCACAAACAATTTGATATTTTAGATACATAGACGTATATGAAAGACGAATTGTATCTTTAAAATAAATTGCATCTGCGAGGCTAACAATTACTAATGATATTAAATAAAGCGACCAGAGAGAGCTTAAGTCGGGCTTAATTTTATTTACCGGTATCCGTGCTTATTGTCCGTCTCGGAGGTATGAATGGTGCCCGCCTAACCGGACCGGCTCAGAGCCCTAGACACATAAACTCAAGATGCGCAACATCTTAATATATAAGTAATTTTAGGTGACAAATTATTTTCTACTCGCTAATTTCTCCACATACCGCCTTAAAGGACATCTAACGATTTTCAATAGCTAAGACTTGGTGTAAGTACTAAAATCGACTATATACGAAATTTGAATTATATGCTATATTAACAGTATTCATAAGGAACGTCATATAAAAGAAAAAAAACAATAAAAGAAAAATGTAAATCTTATTATGAGTTTGCATAATTACTAACATTCAGTGGTTTTCCGCCACAAATTTATTTATTTAAATTTTAAATTGCATATATTTTGCTGTTTGAAGTTTCGGTCAATGGCATGACAAAATGTTTAAGGGTGGGTGGTGGTGATAGAGGCTTATGGGCCAGCATGAATTAAATAGCAGAAGGACCGTCATATTATCTGCCCATCAAGGACTATAATAATATCGTTCAATTTTCCTATTGCGGCAGAGATAGACAAACCATATCTAGATGCACCTCGTGTTGTATACCAGAAATATAAATTCGTGGCTATTTGAATATTGAACTTATAGTCTCGAAGTGCACGACGCATTAATTCTATAAAATCAATATCGTTGGGACGTTTCTAGTATTTCTAATTCTGCATTGAATGAAATAGTTTGCAAGCCCTGGTACATTAATCTAGTCGCACTATTGTAGGTCTGGAAGCATTTATGAGACCGCGGTCTCGACCTTTTCATAATAATAAAGTCCGATCACCGTGCTCTTTACATCGTTTTAAATGTTTTATGGATATGGGTAATAGTTTTTGAATCATTAAGAGGAAAAGCGGAAGTTGAGAAAATGAGGAATTGTTTTCAATTACAAAACAAATTAAATGGCGACATGGAAAGAAATTATTTAAGAATCGATGAAACGATTTTTTGCTTAAATTTGTGGACGAGCTCACAACCCACCTGGTGTTAAGTGGTTACTTGAGCCCATAGACATCTACAACGTAAATGCGCCACCCACCTTGAGATATAAATTCTAAGGTCTCAGTCACAACGGCTGCCCCACCCTTCAAACCGAAACGCATTACTGCTTCATGGCAGAAATAGGCAGGGTGGTGGTACCTTTTTTTTTCTGCCACCCCGTGCGGTCTCACGAGAGGTCCTACCACCAGTAAAAGATGCCTGAATCGCACTAACAACATGTTCAAAATAAGCTTGCATATATACAAGTTCCGAATAATAATATTCGGACCGTCGGTCTACCGAACAATATCACTCGCTTGGTAAAATGGCTTCCCTTTGTCGTTATTTCTAAACAGATGACCCCGACGTTATTTGAACACGCAACCTTCTTATCGAGTTGATCGAGAGATAAGATCGATCGAGATAAGTCGTCATTTCCAAAATGCGTTATCTATATATTAATACGTGATGCAAAAACTTTGGACCCCTTTTTACGAAAATTGCGCGGCGGAGAAGTATAAAATTTCCCAAACTTATAGAGAATATAGAGAAGGAGTGCAGAATGTTAATATGTTTTTAAATAGTGCATGAAGAATAAATTAAATCAATAAAAAAAACATTACACACACTACCATGTATTTGACACACACACGCATGCATCCTATTTGCTTATTCTCAAACTTTTCTTAGTTTGTGGTCAAATTGAGAATAGATTAAATTTTGTTTATCTTTATTAATATTTGTCTAAAGTGAAGTCTTGGCGAAATCTATGAATAGAAAAAGATGTGTGGTGTCGTGGGACACCGGTTAAGAATGAAGTTCCTTATTATAAAAATATTAATTTTAAGTTCTATTCGAGGTATAAAGAAAATAATTATTCGGGTATACATTTTCGTTACGATTTTTTTATTGATAAAAATAAAAATAGTCGCAAGGTCTAACCACTCCGCAGTGCAATGGAGCAGCCTCGCCCTGGGGGAACCGCCTACATGATCACGGTATCCTCTACGCCAGGTCAGTATAATTTAACAAGAGAAACACGAGAACGTCTATCAACTGTGTAACATCTCATTACCGCGATTCAGGAATTTTTGAATTTACGTGCTGCGTCATCTGTTGATAACAATTTAAATAGAAAAAATCTTACGCTACGGACGCTTTTTCTCGGTTAGGGTACCCCTCCGCATCGTCCCATAAGGAACTTCGTTCCCGTAATCTAATATAATATAATCTTTGACAATAGAATCTTAATAATGTTCAAACTTATAATTTCAATTAATTATAGTCGGATTTCGACTACTACGGGGACCACTAGTCAAGTCTAAAACGAATATCACAATTAAAGTAAGCACATTTAATTAAGGAAAACGTTATAAGTCTTCCAAACAAAACAATATTGCTCTAA